TAAATAAACTAAACTTTACATCAAACTAGAAAAGCAGTCAGAGAGCGCAGACCTCCGCCAAGGACTACCCCCATTTTTTATATAAATTGCGATAAAATCAGTCTTCTGGATCAGATCCGGATCAGCCTTTGGAATATGAAAGAGGATCCCATTGTCCATCCCTGAGTCAAATTTCATGGGGTTTGGTCAATAATTAACCGAGATATTGAGAAACAAAATTTTTGGCCCCATTTACCACAATGTTAACTAAAATTTCAAAGTGATCCAGAATCCAGGATTTCTTCCGGATCACCCCCAAAATGAAATCAGTTCTTCCTTTTCACATTTCCAACAAATTCTGAAAATTTCATCAAAGTCGGTCCATAACTTTTTGAGTTATGTTGCTAACAGACAAACAAACAAACAAACAGAACAAACAAACAAACAAACAAACAGACAAACGCCGGCAAAAACATAACCTCCTTGGCGGAGGTAATAAACCATAAATGCTCTAGAGCCACATCAGCCTGTTTGACATTATAATGTGTTTATTGCAGCTTTGACACATTTGTTTATGTTTTACAGAAACTAAACTTAAAACCACATGACTCATTTGCATAAACTACTGTATAAGGGCTGAAAAAAACAAAAACAGTTCGCTGCTTGTGCCCTGATGTGGTTCAGCTTCTGTCGGACTTAAGGTCACCTGACAGTGGAATATGAGTGTTCTCCCTGTGACAGTTGGATGTGTTTGATGATGATGGTGAGTGTGTTCTGTGTGAGGCTGAAACTCCAGTGTTGGTGTCAGATGCAGCCTCGTCTCCTCACACTGTGCTACTCACAGACACCTACATTCAGTTTGCCAATTAAAAATGAACATGATCGACAAAATTCTTAATGCTCAATTATTGATTAGTCGACTAATCATGCCCATCCCTAGTGTGGAATTAATAAAACTTATAAATGATTTAATGTTATGAGGTTCTTGTTTCAGAACCTCAAAAAAGAACCTCATAACATAAACTATCGGAAGTTAAAAGCATACTTGGGAACATTCTCCATGGAGATTGATACATGTTCTGCCAAACTATGGAAAATTAGAGGAACAATATTTCCATGGAAACAAGTCAGGTTTGTGGAGATGCAAGCCCACTCACAGTACAGAGGCATGTTCTTCACTGCAATACACAATCTGAATCTGTTTTTCTATTGAAGAAATCTTTATTATTTTTATTTTTTTAATCATTATAGTTTTCCACTGATGTTGCCAGACTCTCACTTTATTCTGCAAATACAAATTCTCCAAGTATTTATTTTATGTTTAAGGAAACTCGACTCGATGTTGTAAGAATAAAATACTATGGCTCTGTTCTTTCAGATGTTAGTGATGGAGCTTGTGTCTCTTCTCTGTGAGTGGGAACAACTCTATTTGTGTCTCTTCAAAGTGAATCCACAGAATGCTCCTGTGTGTGTGTGTGTGTGTGTGTGTGTGTGTGTGTGTGTGTGTGTGTGTGTGTGTGTGTGTGTGTGTGTGTGTGTGTGTCTGGTCTATTTCTGTCCATCCCAAACTTCAGAAGGCAAACTCAGTGCTGTGGTGAGGCATATCCACTCCCTCCTCGCTCTCTCTCTCCTCCTTGTCTTTCTCTCTTCCTCCTTCTCTCTCTCTTCCTTCTGTAAGTCTCTATCTCCGTCTGACATATTCTTCCTCTCTTCATCTGTTCTCTCTTCTCTCTCTTCTCTCTATCTGTCTCACTCTCACTCTCACTCTCTCTCATCTCACTTGTTTCATCTCTCTTCTCTCTCTCTCTCTCTCTCTCTCTCTCTCTCTCTCTCTCTCTTCTGTCTCTCTCTTCCTGTCTACTTTCTGTTTCCGTCTTCTCTCTCTCTGTTTCCTCTCTCTCTGTCTCCCTCTCTCTCTTCCTGTCTCCTCTCTCTGTCTCTTTGTCTCCTTGTCTTCCTTTCTCACCTTCTCTCTCCCTGTCTCCCTCTCTCTTTGTCTCTCTCTCCCTTCCTGTCTCTCTCTGTCTCCATATCTCTCTGTCTCTCCCTCTTTCTCTGTCTCTGTCTCTGTGTCTCTCTGTGTCTCTCTGTCTCTGTGTCTCTCTGTGTCTCTGTGTCTCTGTGTCTCTCTCTGTGTCTCTGTCTCTGTCTCTCTGTGTCTCTCTGTGTCTCTGTGTGTCTCTCTGTCTCTCTGTGTCTCTCTGTGTCTCTCTGTGTCTCTCTGTCTCTCTGTGTCTCTCTGTGTCTCTGTCTCTCTGTGTCTCTCTGTGTGTCTCTGTCTCTCTGTGTCTCTCTGTGTCTCTGTGTCTCTCTGTCTCTCTGTGTCTCTCTGTGTCTCCGTGTCCTGTGTCTCCGTGTGTATATGTCTCCGTGTCTCTGTCTCTGTGTCTCTCTGTCTCCTCTGTCTCTCTGTCTCTCTGTGTCTTCTCTGTGTCTCTGTGTCTCTCTGTGTCTCTGTGTCTCTGTGTCTCTCTGTGTCTCTCTGTCTCTCTGTGTCTCTCTCTGTGTCTGTGTCTCTGTGTCTCTCTGTCTCTCTCTGTGTGTGTCTCTGTGTCTCTCTGTGTCTCTCTCTGTGTCTCTGTGTCTCTCTGTCTCTGTGTCTCTCTCTGTGTCTCTCTGTGTCTCTGTGTCTCTCTGTCTCTGTGTCTCTCTGTGTCTCTCTGTGTCTCTCTCTGTGTCTCTCTGTGTCTCTGTGTCTCTGTGTCTCAGTGTCTCTGTTCTGGTAAAAGTGATGACAGAGTCGATCTTGTCCAGTCTGTTGTGGTTGTTCTCTTGCACGCTCACGTGGGAGAACAACACCGAGATATTTGTGAGATATTTGTGACTCAAACTCGCAAACATCGTGAGAATCCATCCTGCTGTGCTCGTCTCATTCACTAAAACAGACGGACACGTTTAGACCCGGGGACGAGGCTGTGATGACTGTGAAACTGCGACGCTGCTGTTTGTGTGTTTAACGCGAAAACTAACATCAACATTATTATGGAACGACGTGACACTATCTTGAAATTCTACATCACCCTCACCCTCTCTTACCCCGAACTGTGTGGATAAAAGAAGAAACATAACATCCTCACCGTGACATTAAACACACACACGCACTGAGCACACACTCGTTCACACACTTGTTCACATGTGAGCGCACACTAGTGGAGTATCTAAATCACACTGTAATTGTGAAGTCGCTCGCACTGAAGTCACCACCAGTCTGGAAGAGGACGCTTTTACCGCTCTGTCCATCTGAGCATCTCTAACGCTGCGGAGCCACACACACGCGCGCACACACACACACACACACACACACACACACATGCATATATTTACACACGCAGCAGTGCAGGAGCTTGGCCTTTTGTAATCATTTTTCCCTCTGATTAAAATGTCTTGTTTCTTCATGCCCCAATAATCGACTGAATTTCATTGTACACAGAGAGGGAGACACAGGGGGACACACGGAGGGGACACAGGAGGAGACACGGGGGAGGCCTGGGGGAGAAACATGGGGGACACAGGAGGGACACAGAGGAAGACACACTGAGGACAAAGGGGGGGACACGAGGGAGAAACATGGGGGACACAGGAGGGACACACGGGGAGACATAAAGGGAGATGGGGGAGACACAAGGGGAGACACAAGGGGAGACACAAGGGGGGGCACAGGGGGACACACACAGGGGAGAAACACAGGGGACACGGGAAGGACACAGAGGAGACACAGGGGAGACACAGAGGGGGCACAGGGGGAGACACAAGGGGAGATACACGGGGGACATAGGAGGGACACAGGGGGAGACACAAGGGAGACACAGAAGGAGACACGGGCGGGACACGGGAAGGACACAGAGGAGACACGGGGGAGACAAAGGGGAGCACAGGGGGAGACACAGTGGAAGACACATGGGGGGCACAGCAGGGACACAGAGAAGACACAACGGGAGACACAGGAAGGATACAGCGGAAGATGCAAAGGGAGACACGGGGGAGACACATGGGGGACACAGATGAGACACAGGGGGAGACACAGTGGAAGACACATGGGGGACACAGGATGGACACAGGGGGAGACACAGGGGGAGACAAAGGGACTGTGTACCATCCTGGAGACTGTTTTTATTTAGTCAAAAACGGCCTTGAAATTCATCCTGTGTGCTCCAAAATTGAAAATGAAAACACAATGTACATAATATTCAGTGAGGAAAGTCAAGTGCCAGTATCTCAAGCAATGATCAAAATAATGCAAATAAATAATCCAAATAAATAAAAATACATTAAAATAAACAAGTGTCTTTGTGCATTGTTGAAGAGCATTGTTTTAAAGGTGCACTATGTAACTTTCCTGTTTGCCTGCATGAATAGAGATGTTACTGCTTTAACCCTCTACCAGAAAAGTTACACACTGCTCCTTTAATATAAAAATGCTTTGAACCTGGCTGTGGTGAAGGCAGGAGCAGAGCAGATGGACTGAGACACACAAACACACACGCTGCTTTCAAGTACTGCAGGAGAATGAAGTTAAAGAGGAAGTTTCACACAGGATTATGATACTTAAATGTTCAGTGTCTGTCCCGTGCTCATACAGTTTTAAAAAAGGTTCAGAGTCTTCACCTGCAGACAGAGACACACAAGATTGTCTCATTCTCAGTTTATGTTCAGGCCTCGTGTGAAGCTCAGAACCTCCAGACTTCTCTCCCTGAGCTGCAGAGTTTCATGATTGGATTCATGACTGGTGCAGGTGCTGGGGTTTAGGGAGAGACCATCAGATCAGAGAGACATTTTAGGTTTAAACACATTGAGAATAAATCAGCACTACAGTTGTTCTCAGTAAAATCTGTATTGATTTGAACATATTTACCTCATATCTGAGGACACGTGGAATATAATTTGAATATTACGTGCAGGACCTTTAATATGACATTTACACTTTGAATCTCACTGCACTTGAAAGCAGCACACACACGTACACACACACACACACACACACACAGCAGTGACAGAGCAAAGCGTGAATGAGAGGGGCCGACCTGATAGGCTGCTGCGCTCTGAGCTGCCCGAGCTGAAGTCCTGCGATTGGTTGTGTGGGATTCTGTTAGACAGTCCCTCGGCCAATCGGTGATCAGGGATGAAAAGGAGGGCTAAAGGGGGAGGGGTTAAAGGGCAAAAACCACAGTGATGTGAGCTGATTGGCTGAGAGCACAAGCACATGCAAACATGCAGTTAGAGCGACAGCAAAGCAATGACCAATCAGCACGCAGCTCTCACCTGAGACATGGAACCATCACATTCAACCAGAATACTTTTATTTTCAGACTTTAGGTTTGTTCTGTCAGAACTTTTCAAACTGCTCCAAATGTGGAATCACTTCAATCACTTTTTGAAAAAAGGCCGTGTAGAGTTCACCTTTGTTTTTTCATAATAATAGTATCACTAGTTTGCAGTCAGTGTGCCCCACGGCAGCTGTGACTGCACTTATGTTTTACCACCACAGAGTGTAGAGTGTGGAGTGAATGCAGAGTGACACAGTGCAGTGATCTGAGGCTGGAGCAGAGTATACAAAGTGTACTGAGTGTGTGTGCTTTGAAAACAATATACTTAATGCATACATTATATTTACTAATCTTTACCAATAAAGACTGTTAAAGTGAGTTGTGTTTTCATATGTTGAAATGCTCCTGAGTTGTCGGTATCATTTCAAATGAAGCACTAGTTCACACATTAGGATCATACACAGGGAGAGGAAGAGGAGAGAGGATGATGTCAAACTGAAGCTCTGTACTCACTGTTGTTGCAGGAGCCCTTCTCTGGCAGGGAGTAGCCCAGGCTGGCCATCTCGTGCTTGGCCTGAAGAGAGGCCTTCCACTGGGGGTCGGGCAGCTCCACGGACAGCTCGTGGATGCTGGAGGAATGGAGGATCTGGGTGGTGGCGTAGGGGGTGGCCTGGGAGGTCTGGCTGGGGCTGTTGTAGCTGGTTTTGCTGGTGAAGTCTATGGAGCTGTAGATGGCTCCGTCTGACAGCATGGTGGCGCTCTTCTCCTGGGCACTGGAGTGGTCTGAAGAGCACGAGGGCTTAAAGTTAGTTAAGTGAGTAAATCCAAATATATGTGACATGTTTTTATGAATTATCATACATTTTAACAGACTTTTTTTCATTCTCTTAAGGTACTCCAAGCACTGACTGAAAAGTCATTATCATACCTTTTCCAAACTACTGGTTCTACACAAAAACATCTGAGTATCTGTCCTGGTATTTTGTATTGACTGAAGAAGTGCAGCCCTAAAGATCTGGAGTCTTCTGTCCACTTGAGACTTGAAACATTCTTCTTTACAGCAAGAGTTTGTTTTTTTCACATGAGGACTGGTTATGTCTTAACCGCTGATCAGTTTTCTGGTTTATTACTAACTACATTTTTAAAGTGGACTTGGACACCAACACCAGCTCTCAAACATGGACCACATCTGAAATGGAGGCTAGAATTACCGCCTTACAAACCTGCACTGGAGCACCTCTGGACATGACTGAATCCAGTTACACTAAAGCTGTACTTAGGAACTTTTCTGCTGGAAATATTTTTGCTCAGCCTATAATTTTACCCAGTCTGGCAGTAAGGTTTTTTTTGTCAAGCATATATTTAAATACAACAGTTTTTTGAATTACTGTGGCCGGCTGGAGATACATCTGCAATACCTTCATGGAGAGAGGCAGGTGGCAGACCAAACAAGTGAAACTGTGTACCTTTAACTTCAAACTTTATCTTCAGACAGTTACTTTTACTACTACTACCACTTTACTAGTACTCTAGATTTCTCATCAAGTGTAAAAGACTGAGCAAAACCCTCAAACAGTATTAAAGTCTCACGAAACATGATGGAGAAAAGGTACACATCTTGGGACTTTTAAAGACTGTTACAGAATGATTCACCGCTGGACACTTTCAGATCACACCTCCAAACCTGCTCTTAACGGCTCTCCCCCTGTGCACCAGTCCTCCCCTGTCCTCCCTCATCCTCCTCTCTTCCCTCCATCTCAGCAGGCTCCATCATATCCTCCACATCCGTAATCCTGCATTCTGTTTTCTAAAAATGGCATCGCCTGACGCCTGGTGCCTGGTTGGAGTGTGGTGGACTCTGTGGTGCCCAGTGAAGGGTGAGGAGCTGCAGAACTGTCCACATGTGCGAGGCGGGAGGAGGGGTGAGGAGGAGGAGGAGGAGGGGGGTGGGTGTCCTTCACGAGTGGCTGCTCCGGACCATCTCCATCCCTCCCTCATCCCTCTCTCCTCTCCCCGTGCACATGTCTGCCATTACTCAGCTGTTGACACGGCGCTGTGCTGCTGCGGCTGTGAAAGTGTGTGTGTGTGTGCGTGTGTGTGTGCATGTGTGTGTGTGGGAGGAGTGTGAAAAGAGGAAGGCCTAGTCATGGTTCAGACCTGATACAGAGTCTGTCGAGGTGTGGTTTTAGTCCCATCAGAGACCTGGTTTAGTCCTGGAGCAGAATCTTTAAAGGTCCTACATTACACAAACGTGATTCTTGTGACTTTTAAGCCAAGTTAGGATGTTATTACCTCCTCAAAAACAGACCTGGAGTTGTGTTTTCATTCACACATGTTTTAGTAACACTTTATTGCTAGTCTGTTTATATCTCCAACCTCAAAATACTCTGTTCCACCTTGTGATGTCATGGCACAGTTGTTTCCAAGTCAACAGCTACATTTACCTTTTGTTAAATGATCCAAATGATTCTAGTGAAGGTGTATGGAGTTTAAAAACAGAGTGGAACACCTCCTGTGTTACCACATGACATCACAATGTGGAACAGATTGTTTTCAGGTTGAGAGAAGAACACTTAATCCATAAATCTGCAGAGTTTGTGTGTGAATGAAACAAAACAAGACTCAGAACTCGGTACTTGGTTTCTTTTTGATGAGGAAATATGTATATGGAACATTTTCATACAGATCAGAAAACAGTGTCATACGGATCATTGAAATGGTCTTCTAGGTCTGGTTTAGTTCTAATTTAGACCTGGTTTAAAAACCCTTCAAGACCTAAACACAATTTTTGTACATTTGTCCTCGCCTTTTTTTTTTTCTTAATTTTGCGTTTAAAACTGCCCCTTTTACCCCCTAATGAAGAGTTATACATCATTTTTTTCAGTACAACCTGTTATTTCACAATCTGCTGCTGTAGTTGTGTCATATGGGTGTAATAAAAACTACAGGACTAGAAATACAAATGAAAACAAAAAGAAGAAGAGAAAACACAGTAAACATGTTTAAACAATTTTTTGGACAAGAAAACATATTTAATTTAGAACCTTAGCTACAAAAGTGTAAAATATCAAGTCTGTAAGTAAACTCAAAATATCCTTATTGCCTCAAAACAGAAAAAGGTGCAATGTCCCCATGACTTTCCTGGTGTCAGTCTTGCAAACAGCTGGTGTCAGGTCCAGGACACAGAGCCACATCATTTCCTGCATTTCCATGGGGTTTATTACATTTGGATTTGGACATTTGAACTGAAATAAACCTTGCAAATAAAAATGTCTAGGGGATGTGCAATTACACAGACCAAGATGTGTAATTTCCCATTAATTTTAGAAATAAATGCACTTAGAGCGACTTTTTCAACCACAGACGCTCAAAGCATCGACCGTTTTGACTCACTACACTCTTTGGCAAAATTTGGACCAATCAAAATAGACGGAGCGCATGAGCTTGGCAGAAACCAAAGCTCCTATTGGACACTCATTTTCCCTACGTCATCATGCAGCGTGTGATGTAGGATAATGCCGGAAATATGCTCGGAAAGCTGCAACTGTCAGCTTTTCAAGGTAAACAAAGTAAGTTTCTGTCTTTCATGGTTGGAAATGTATGCACAGTTATATAAAACATATTCCCAGATATCATATATCAGGAGTGTCAAACTTATTTTGGTCCGGGGGCCGTATCCAACCTACTTTGATCCCAAAGGGGCCGGATCAGAAAACTCATGTCATATAAACCCCAAAAATAACAATAAGTTCAAATATTTGTGCAGAGAAACACAAATCTATTACAGAAATCTTTTTTAATTGATGAACTCTTTCTTTTACAAAATATTATAATATTATGAACAACCTGAAACTTTAAGAAAAATGTAATTTCAACACAATGTTTTAACATGAACTTGTTAATAAGAATAAGTTCATTTTTCTTGGAAAATTCTGCACTCGGCTCCACTTTTCTCATGTTGGACATTTTGCTGATGAGGGTGTCACGGTCAACAGTCAAAACGATCGTCCTTTAAGAGCGTTTGGAAAGAGACAAGTCTTCATTTGTGCTGCTCTGGTGGGAGGGGCCACGTACAGAGACGCTGGAGACGCTGCTGTGATAAACACCACAGAAAATTAACAAGATTTTAATAGAAAATATAATTCAAATATTTTAGTAGAAAATCAGCTGAGGGCCAGATTAAAGGTCTTGGAGGGCCGGATCTGGCCCCGGGGCCGTATGTTTGACACCCCTGTCATATATGATACCATCATGGTTAAAACAGAACTACTCTGCAAAGTGAACTTTTCAGAACCTCTAACCATATTATAGTAGTTTCCTCTCACCATTATTCACCTGAAGTTGTATTTGGAGTAATTTGTGCATGTTTGAACAATCTTTAATCACTTATATGCAATTTCTCCAATTTTATTTTCTTAATCAGTGCTCCGCGTTGGGTTTGGCAGCATTTATGGCGACGTCAGCTCCCATTAGGTTTATAGAAACATGTGAGTATATGTGTGTGTGTGTGTGTAACTGACCTGAGCGTCCAAAGTTGCTGAGCTCGTTGGGGCCTCCAGAGTTGCTGGTCACTGGAAGACTGGGGGCCGGCCAAGAGTCTGCTAACCAGGGGTACGAGGGGTCAGAGGAGGAGAGCAGGCCTGGACGACTGTGGAGGAGAGAGACAGAGAGTTAGACCAGGTTAATGCACCCAGAGGCCAGACAGAGAGGTCAGAGCAGGAGAGCAGGTCTGGAACACTGTGGAGGAGACAGGCAGAGTTAGACCAGGTAAATGCACCCGCAGGCCAGACAGAGAGGTCACAGGAGGAGAGCAGTCAGAGCAAAAGAGAGAGAAAGAAATTCAGAACAAGTAAGTACAATCAGGAGCATGGTCAGGAGTGAGCTGACCGGGGGTACGGGGGGTCAGAGGAGGAGAGCAGGACATGACGATTGTGTGGAGAGAGTGGGAGGGGGGAGAGGTGAGACCAGGTGAGCAGAGTTCTGCACCGGCCTGAACTCTACTGAGGCAAGAAGATTAAGTTTAGATTTAGTGTTAACTTTACTTTTCTTTCTTACATCAAGGAACCATTTCACCATTCCCACGAACAATAAATATATTCCAGAGCTACACGTGTGGAAATGTTTCTTCTGCATGTGACCCGTTCTTCAATGCCACTGGGGACCCATCTCCAGATCTTAAGTTAGTCTTGATCAGGACGACCTTAACTGGAGGATTTAATCTATGGTGCATGTTTTGAGTTGATGAGGGAAATCATAATGTCTGTGTGATACAGGGAAATTCTACACTGTGATGCCTGGGCAACATGGGAATCAAACTCAGAACCTTTTTAGTCCAATGAGATTAATTTGGTCTTTTGTTATTTCATGTTATCAGGTTCTTTTTTCAGACCTAGAGTTTTGTTTCATACCTGACAGTTTCAACTGCTCACTAGTGCTCCAGCAACATTATGTGACCACTCTGAGGAAGAGCACTAGTGAACAGTCGAAACTGTCAGGTATGAAACAAAACTCTAGGTCTGAAAAAAGAACCTGATAACATCAGAACCTTTTAGCTGTGAGAGTCTAGCCACTCTGCCACCATGCCATTGATCTACCCATTAAAGGTCCTATATTGCAGTTTCTCAAACTTTTTTTCTGGGGACCCATATTTTAAAAGTCACAAATCCTTTGTGACCTAAGTCAATAGACATTATTCATAAATCACAAAATAAAGGTGGATTTTTCATTATTGAACATTAATGAGGAAATTTTCTTGTTGACTGAGTGATTGTGTCTCTCTGAACAATTAGTATTACTCAGTAATTGACCCAACATTAAAAGGTCTCCATAAATATCCTGAAGTGCACTGACCTTTGCTCATGTATCACCTTCTTTTTGGACGACCAAGCAAGCATTTCTCAACTTTAGCTGCAGGAACACTCGTTCAGGGCAGATAGGATTCACTGACTCACTCGCTCTTTCTCAACTGTATACTGAAGACCTACATGCAGATCGTGACAAGGCAACCCCCCAAAAAATCTCTTGTGACCCACGTGAAGGTCATGACCCAGTCTTTGGGAAACACTGACATACTGAACTTTAGTCATGTTAGAATGTTGTTACCTCCTCAAAAACAGACCTGGAGTTGTGTTTGGTTTCATTTACACATGTTTGAGTAACTCTTTATTATTATCTTTCTACATCTCCAAAAATCAAAATGCTCTGTTCGACTTTATGATGTCATGAAGTGGTAGTTTTCAAGTGAACAGCTCCGTTTACCTTTTGTTCAGTAGAGATTGGCAATTCCAGATCTGAAATGATTCAAATGATCCTAGAGAAGGTGCATGGTCTTTATAAACACAGTGGAACATTTCCTGTATTACCACCTGACATCACAAGGTGGAACAGAGTGTTCTCTGTTTGAGGTAAGAACTCAGGCACAGAATTCAGAGATTCAGGGGCTGTGTGTGAATGAAACAAAACACTCCAGGTCTGTTTGTGATGAGGACACTACATTAGAACAGATCCGAAAATAGTGATAGGTTCTCAAGGATAAAAAAAAAAAAAAAAAAGAGTCCATTAATGAAGTGTAGAACCATTTTTGTGCATTCTTGTCTTCTCTCTGTGTTGTTTTCCCATCACTCCTCGCTGCTTTCACCCACTACACTTTCAATCCTCCCTGATAAAGCTCCCAAACTGGCAATCCCGAACCCCCCTCCGCCTCCGTCCCTCGCCTCACTCCCACACGTGTGAGCGTCGGAGAGGACATGTCCGTGTAACAGGTGGACTCCTCTCCCTCACGTCTGGGGCTGTAGCGGCGGGGCATAAAAAGCGTGGCGGCGGGAGGACTTTAACTGCTCGCGGGTGAGTGGTGCCGGGTCGTTAGGGGCGCATTAGTCGTTACCGCGGTTACACACACAGAGCTAATGAGAGCAGGGGAGGGGCTTTTGTTTACATGTCACTCTGCGTCCCTCAAAGTGCTTACGGTGTTTACTGTGTGTCCAGAGCACCCAGAGGAGTCTAGTAAATCTGTGTAGTCCCGCTTTAGACCTGCTGCACTCTTTGATTAGTTGCGGTTTATATCCGGCTGTAATATACTGCTTTTGTTCTGCCACCTGCTTGTCTCCATGGAGATGTTAGTGCTTTACCTGGAATGTTCCATAGTATGACATTAAACGTATATGTACAGCATCTATTCATGTCCAGGTGCTTCTATTGCTAAACCAAAAAAATACATCGACATACATGTTTTCTTGCTTGTCACAGATTTGACCTGGAACTTGGTCCGGTGTCTCCACGGAAATAAATAAATGTAATGCGATACTGTGGAACATTACAGGTATCTATCTCCACTGAAACAAGCAAGTACCGCCAGTAAGCCAAGTTACAAATCAGATCTATGGTGAGGCGAGCCCCAAGAGTACGAATCGCATATTCTTAGCAGTATTTCTAAGCAATAAAAACACCTATAGAGAAATAAATACAGTATAGATAAGTTTAAAGTCATATAGTGGAACATTTTAGCCAAAGTAATACCATCTCTATGGAAACAAGTGCTGTAGGCCAAGTTACAAATCACATTTGTGGAGAAGTGAGTGCCCAGAAGCAAAATGCATATTCTCTACAGTATTTTTGAATTAAGTAGTGAATTAAATGCAACATGGACAAGTTTAATGCCATATTGTGGGATATTTTAAACTAACGCAATACCATCTCTATGGACATAAGCACGTCAACAAAAAATGTTAACTTATTTTGTTATACAGGATGTTCCTAAAAAAAAATAGCATATTTTCACAGGCCAATAATTTTGGCAATTCATGTTGAAATAACCTGAAATGTTCACAGAATTGATAGAAACAGACAGGGATATCCACAATATCCAAAACTCAAAGTACAATATCGTTCCGCTATGCATCTGACAGTACAATGTGTATTGTGATCTTTTGGAGAAGCTTTAGATGTGTAGGTAGGATACTTTTTGCTTCTGAAATACGTTGACAAGACTTTGGTGCGAATCAATACTGTCATAATCTCAAGAATTCAAGTAACATATTTCATTATGTGTGTGTGTTTTTAACTGTAGCTACTATAAAACAAGGTATTTAAGCAAAGGAACTTGTAATTCGTTATACTGTGACAGCCCACCATATTATTGTGAGACTTTTGGTGATACGATATCACGATATTTCAGTTACTGTTACATCCCTAGAAACAGATCAATATTTTATTTGAATATTTAAATGTTTTGTTACCTCCGCCAAGGAGGTTATGTTTTTGCCGGCGTTTGTCTGTTTGTTTGTTTGTTTGTTTTTTTGTTTTTGTTTGTTTGTTTGTCTGTTAGTAACATAACTCAAAAAGTTATTTGGACCGATTTTGATGAAATTTTCAGAATTTGTTGGAAATGTGAAAAGGAAGAACTGATTTCATTTTGGGGTGATCCGGAAGAAATCCTGGATTCTGGATCACTTTGAAATTTTAGTTAACATTGTGGTAAATGGGGCCAAAAATTTTGTTTCTCAATATCTCGGTTAATTATTGACCAAACCTCATGAAATTTGACTCAGGGATGGACAATGGGATCCTCTTTCATATTCCAAAGGCTGATCCGGATCTGATCCAGAAGACTGATTTTATCGCAATTTATATAAAAAATGGGGGTAGTCCTTGGCGGAGGTCTGCGCTCTCTGACTGCTTTTCTAGTTTTTGTTCTGTTTTCAGGTTGAGCCTTTCACTCCTAAAGAGAAGTAATTTTGCGTCTTGGAATCTGCTCGCACACACTCACCCAAGACTGTGTAGCCTTCAATGCAAAATTTGGAAAAACTTCACAAACTGGCAAGCAAATCTGGAACTGGTACCAGCAATGTAAAGAGTTTGGTTGTTTATGCAGGGCTAAAGGACCTGGTAAACCAACATCAACATTGGAAGAGAAGGTCGAGCAATTTCTTGAAAACCTCTTGCAAAAACTTTTCCCAAGAAGTCCATAAGGAGAACACATTTGGAAACCCAGATCCCTTGAATGACGGTTTGGCGTACCAGATCCTTTTTAAAATTGTGAAAAATTGGTGCATTGTGCAACTTTTCTGCTGCAGCATCCATCAAACGCTTACAATGCAGATGTGATTGCTTTGGGTGGAATGTTTCACAGTGTGGCATTAAACCTTTCTGTCTTCATGGAGACCAAACCAGACAAGTTACAGGTCAGATCTGTGGAGAGGCGACCCCACTGTTTGTTTTTCTAGATGTTTTTGAGCTGTAAATCCACCTGTAACTGAATAAATGTAAGGTAGAGCTGTTTAATGTCATACTATGGAACATTCCAGGCAGAGAAATGACATCTCCATGGAAAAAAGCAGAAAAGTTACCCAATGCATCTTTAATTAAAAAAAAAAGTAAGAAATCTGTATTGTAAGTATTCATTTTCTCTCTGCACAACAAAACCATTTCAAAATCGCTGTCTCACTGTTAACATGCAAATCCCCAAACACGACCAGCAAACATTTCCAGATTAAACCTTCCTCATCTCCCGTCTCAAAGCAATCTCCTCTTCCTCCCGCGCGCCGTAAGTGTTTGTTAATGCCCACGCGTTTAACCCAACCTCCGCGCGCTCCTCGTGGGCCCATAAACACGTGATTTACACCTTTGCCTCCGAATTAATATCCCGCGCCG